TTGCGCCTTTACTTTCTCCAGATCATCCACCTTGTGACTCAGTCTCTGCTTAAGATCAAAAGGTCAAGGATGTATTGAACTTACGTGCGCATATTAATTTTTCTAATAATGTAGAAACCCATAAAATCGTGCAGCTTGCAATTTTCCTCCGAGCATCTTAGTGGAGTTCGCTGTGCTGTTGCTAGTCGTTGCTGCACTGTTCGATCCTATGCTGTTATTTGTTGTCTTCGCATTTGAACTACCAGCACCTCCATTTTGCATGCCTGCTTTGAGTCGGGCTAAAAGGGCTGAAACCGACTTTGGCGGCTCCTCCTGTACTGCAGATGGAGAAGGTGTGGCGTCATTGTGGGAGAGCCCGCCACAGTTCTTCCTAGTGCTGTTTTTCGTCGTCACAACGGCCTTGCTTTTCTCGTGCGTCTGCTTGGCATCTTTATCAGCTCCCTTTTTTACCACTTTCTTTGCCTTGGTCGCTTTCTTCGTCGATGCTGATTCTACTTTCTTCTCCTTCACCATCTTTGCCTTGGTCGCTTTCTTCGTCGATGCAGAGTCTACGTCCTTCTCCTTCACGCTTACGTCCTTCTTCTCGCTCACGTCCTTGACCTTCTGGTCATCCACCGTCTTCTCAGCGTCTCGTGTTTTCCTCTTCTTCTTCTTCCCCTCTGCGGGGAAACAGAAGGCCCGCTTGTGGTCCGCATCCAAACCAGAGAGGATCGACCTGAGGCCGTCCTCCAGACTCTGATTCTCGTCAACGTCCATTTTTCAGGAAGGAAAAATATGTCAGTCGGTCTTGATGATAGAAACAGAGGTTCCGCCTTTTCATAAAAGGAATTGCAGAAGTACTTATAAGTGGAGAGGTCCAGGTGACCCCGATTGGTTCCTTAGAAAGTTAAACTACCGTGTAAAGCTAGATCTACAACATCTACACGTGAAGGGAAGGATACCGAATCCCAGGAAATCTATCCTGACTAGCGTAGTCAACATGGAAATGTAGGAATTCACAATCTTTAATCCCGCCATTGAAAGAAAGTCGGCATTCACGCAGACCCCAAGATCTCTGGACCTTGTCTTCGTCGCGAAGTGAGTTGTCCTAGAGCCTACATGACTTATCCTAAATAATCCCATATAGACTGGCGTCCAGCTGAGATCTCGATCCGGGCTCGATCGTGGATCTACAGATTCATTCGATGGATGCACCAAGGGATCACCTTGTAAAACATGTGTCTTCGATCCATTGAACTTGTCTTTTTGGAGAGATCCGGTTCTTTCAACATGTAGCTTAAGAGTAAGAGATTTCTGGCTTGCGACACGCAGAACAGCGGATCTTCTTTCAGAACAGCAAAATCTTCTGTCCTCTTCAATAAGAGTAACTTTCGCCTACTAGGTAGCAGCACGTGTCCAAACTGGATCTTTCGTTCCTAGATCTTTTGCGTTGCTACATAGTCAATATATTCACGTGAACAAAACCTTCAGAAACCCGAATGTATAGACCGAAACGTCACCTGGCGATAGTCACCTGATCATCTGCGTGACGCCAGACGCTCACTTTTTCAAAACTCTTCGGCCAGAGGGCCAGCGCACCAGCTAAGGTGGGCGCAGAGAAGTCTTACATTTGACCCGTGCTCACTAGTGAGAATCGCTCAGTAGCAAGAAGAAAGGACGGCTTCCAACAATGCATGCTTGCCGGAATCGTTATTCAGAAGCCACTCAGTCAATGTCGATACGTCAGTACAGGTGGCCAGAAGTCAACAAAAAAAGTAAGTCTCGTCTTGTGTGGAATGGAAAAAACAATCAAAAAAGAAAGTGCATGTGCGAATGGAAAAACAATGATGGTGCATTTTTTTTGGATTTGGATTTGGAGTGAGTGAGTGTCTACTGTGCATTGCATACGCTAAGTCCATGTTGATACTGTCTCGTGTTGGAGGATTCGTGAACAACATGTGTTTGTGTTTGATGCAGCAACGAAGCACTCCTACGTAAACAGCCCCACGCGAAAACAAAAATCTCTCCAAAATGTTCTTGAGAGCAGGGAGCCTACTAGTCAGAATCTGGGCTAAGTGTCTGCATGTAGGGGGAGCTACCGGTCAGCGAGTCCGCGGCGAGACTCACTCATAACTTATCTGCGGATCCGGCGCTTAATGCGCAGGGCTGAGGCGGAAGCACCTCTAAATCTAAATCTTTCTAAATCACACAGCTAAACGGATCTAAACTAAAATCTTGACCGTGTCTAGCCCAACTCCAGGTCTCCACAATCTTGAGAAGCCCATCTCCATCCACAATCCACACGTTAGTCTCGATCTACACGTTTGTTGCCGCGTTCGTGGCAGCTGCGCACTCCTCCTTCTTGTCCTTGCCGAAAGTGATCTTTCCCTCTTCGCCACAGCAAAATTTGCCAGTGGCACACAGCTGATCCGGCGGCACCATGCCTCCGCAGCACTCCTGGAACTTATTCGGATGGTCTTGGGGTTAGAGGAGGCGGGAAGATGAGAAGGAGACATTCTAGAGGAGATGAGAAGGAGACATTCTAGAGGAGATGAGAAGGAGACATTCTAGAGGAGATGAGGAGGAGACATTCTAGAGGAGATGAGGAGGATAAATTTTCCAATGGGGAGGGAGAGAAGGGAGTAGCAGAAATTCTCCAAGAGTAGCAGAAATTCTTCCGCATCGAAGCTAAAATTCCACCATAATCACAGAGTGCGTTTCCGGAAGCGCAGGCAGCATCAATCACCTGTCGGGTGGCATCTGGATTCATAGCCTTGTAGAGGACAGGGGCGCATTCGACCGCCCCATCCGGTAAGGACGTACTTAGAAGAGAAATGACATGATGTACTTAGAGAAAGCATGACTCCTCATCCTGTGTTAGTTTTACAATCAAAATACGTAATCGTGGAATCTATAAATGGAGGATAGTCGTCTCTTCAGTCATAGCCACTGTATTGGCCCCGTCTATTCGTAGGGAGTCCTTTTCGGGTTATGAGCAAACATCTTCTATTCAAGTATGGGAGTTGGCCATGAAAAAGCCGTAATGTGCCACTCAGCGCGTATGTCCAGTTTTCGTCCGTGGTATCCTCAATCGTAGTCGTACCCAATTTGCCGCCTGTTACCTGGGAAAAGAAGGTGAGTAAACGAGATTTAGATTATTTAGATTTAAATATTTAGATTATTTAGATTCCCTATTTAGATTATTTATAGATTTCACTATTAGATTCTTTGGATTTAGTAGTCTCGCCGAAGGAAAGATTTAGATTTAGAGGGAAAGAACATGATACTTAGAATCAATCCAGATAAACGTAACCCATGAGATGGATGCAGACTTTCGGTTTCAGAGTGGAGAATACTAATGAAGAAGCAGCAGCTCTTAGAATCGAGTTGTGTAATACCTTTTCTACTGTCTTCGTTCCAAAATGCCCCATGACGTCGTAGGCATAGCATTTTGACGAGGGAATAACGTCGCAACTCTTGCTATCCACCACCAATTTCACGCACGCTGCACAGGCGTACTCCTTCTTGCTGTGATTTAGATTTTTTAAGTAGATTTCTTGGTTATCAGCATCTAAAGTAGAGTTTTGTTTGATGCTTATCATGTTAGAAGATCTAAATTATGAAACTTTTAGGGGTTGCACTATTCTAAGTTGTATGAATGTAGAAATTCTTACAATAATCTTGAATCGAAAAAGAAATTGAGGAGTTTTCAAGTCATATCCAAGAAATTCTGATTATATCTTGTTTTAAATGAAATTCATTTCTGACGAGCTCCTTTGCACACACTTCAAAAATCAACCAAAACATCCAGAAATGTCATCAAACATAACATTCTATACTCCTATTGAATCTCCTCAAAACCCACTCATTATCCAGTTTACGTATGAACCAAATCAATCAAAAACTTCATCCTATGTCCCCAACTCGTACAAAATTCTAGGATGCATAACCTCAAACGTCGCACTTTGACTCTAAAAAATCTACATCTTAGTACTTCTGGATACCCCAGTGGGAGTTGAACCAAATACCCACTAGATTTTCTCCTGAAACTACGTTACGGTTCTAGGAATATTTTCCCCAATCCCCACGCTAAGCTCTAATTCTTTGTTTTGAACATTGTGATCTGTTTCTTCTTATCAGCATGGAAAAACAAGCATGTGTGCGCCTTCATTGCTTTGAGTATCACTTGATGACGTAGAAGTAAACAAAACTCGATCATTCTCTGTGGAGTCGATGAACAAGTAGTTTCTTTCTATTACGACCAAGCACTTTTTCTCAAGAGTGCATGCTATTCCCAACATCAAGTGATCCTTAAACCACAAGTACAGCAGTTTCATGCTTGCTGGATGCTCGGTACACAGTATTGATTAATTAGTGCGCGAAGTATGTAGGAGGGGTAATAGTGAGTCTAATCATGAGCCACAATGCTCAATCAATGCTAAAAATTGTAGTACCCTAATCATAGATTGAAGATTGCTGTGCCCTGTATCTTCACTGTAAGCAATTTTAGTTGTAGGCATTTTTAGTACTACCTCCTGAACCTGAAAACTCTAAGCTATTTTTTAGCACCTGAATACGCCTTCGCCTTCCCGCTCGCCTGAGGAGCCATCCGAAGGGAGCACCGCTGAAAGCGTGTCATCCAAGCTGCTATAGCTCTCCGTCCAGTGAGTGTCACAAACCGGCAGCCCCAAAACAGGCACCAGCAGAGAAACGGAAGCCCTAGCTGCCCTCATCTTTTACTACTGGCTAGACTCTCTCCTCTACAGGATATTTTTTTTGATCTACAGTTGAAACGAAAGATTGCGACACTCAGGCTGCTCGTCTAATAAATTACTGGACACTTCTCTCTTCAGGATCCTCTAGAAGTACCTTGTCCAGGATCTTCTTTTACTAACGCACTCTCTTCTCAAGGATCTTTTGGCAGTGTCTAAATGATTGTAATTTTGTTAACTGCTCCCTGAATCTTGTGTCTCTGCATCCTTGCTCTGCTGCACCCTTTTCTTCGAACGGTTTGAACCCATTTCCCGGTGCTGGGGTTCGTACCTCTTCTTTGCAACTCTTCTACGAGAAAATTTTTCAACAATAAGGATTTCTCAACAGGACTACGTACTTGGAATATTTGCTGTTTGTCATTGGGAGAGAGGACTGTGCTCCTCACTTTTCAGGAATCTTCATCTCAAGTCTTCATACGCGCGCGTGCTGGTATCTTCCTTCTCATGCTGCCCAAGCTATACCGCTCCCATCAAGTCGCCAAAATTCCTCGTCTACGTCAAATCTGACTGCCAAACGAAAGCCGACGCCTCGTAGTCCTAGACGCCTCCTTGTCATTTTTCCCTTGTTTAAATCAGCGAGCCCGCCATGTGTTAAACCCGTATCATCGATCTATTCTGATGCCAGCTTAGCGCTCCTGCTACAAGCAGTTACCTTGTTCGTGACCGCTCATCCTTCGCGGAATACATCTTGCGTAAGCGAGAAAGCAGCGCATTGAATCTTCAGGCCATTTGCCGTTATTGCGTCTGTAGGCTCCCCGTGTCCTTTTAGTCTTCCGAGACGACGCGTTGTAGCGAACAATGCTACACTAGATGCAACAATATATGTAAAAGGTACTGAACACTGATCCCGTGATTTGTTCGTCTTGTTTTTGCCTCGCTCGGCTGTATACGAGTTGCTGTTTTTTCTGCATGTGATGTTGCTACTTCTGCATACGATGTAGCCATAGATCCTATTTCTGCTAGGTCTTCTCGTAGTTATAAATGCAGGCAACGGGTCTACATTGTGACTCATCCCGACTTCTATGCGAAAGCGAAAGAAGTATGCCATCCTGCTAGCACTACTTGCAATCGACGCCATCCCTCACATGTCTCTCATCCCTCCCGTATCCGTATCTGGGGCCGCAAAATGTACTTGAGAATGGCTGTTGTAACTGGGTATCTGCACGGTATTTGAGGCTAGTCTAGAGGTTGGCTGCCAACGACCTGCGACACACCGCAGCACCGACCCAGATCGCTCTCGCACTATCACATCACTCCTCGAAACGATGTTGCGCCTTAGAGAAACGCACAAGAGATTAGTTGAATCGATTCGGATAGAGCCTAAGATTTCCATCTTGCCTAAGATTTGCCTCGACATTAGAGAACCAGCAAATCTATTGCACAGAGAGATAGAGGAGATCTAGAAAGATGTTGTCCTCGACAATGAATAAAGGGGCGAGACAGAAAACAAGCAGCCTTAAACTAGTACTCCCCTCCGTCACATCTCCTGCTAACTTCGGTCCACCGCTAGCAACGTAATCAGAGCTCTGCATGGAATACGGTGCCGCTATCCTTAGAGCTATACAAGCTTGAATTGACGCTGCACTACAACCGGACATCCTGTGAGAGATCTGTAAGAGATGATCCAGTCTAGAAGACGATTGAGTAAACCAGTAGTCAAAAAGAAAATATACCTGAGAAGCTAGCCGAATAACCGAGTGTCAAATGGTAGGACCCAGAGAACAGCATCAGTGATGGGAATCAGTGATGGTGCAGGACCAAATACCGACTATAGCACGGAAAAGAAAACTATGCTAGTATGATGCGGGATGACCCAGAGAACAGCATCAGTGATGGTGTATGATGCGGGATTATGTGGATGCATAGCGATTTGTAAACCCAAAATTAAGCACACAGTCTACTTCTAGTTCGTGATAGTACTACTAGGGTTTGTTGTCTTTGAGCGGAGCGTGTGCCTACTCCTGATAGCGAACCGAAAAGGGTAATGACTAAGTGCCCCCTTCTACGTCCATCCCATGCCGATACTCGAGCTAAATAGAAGCATTCTGTAGGCCAGAATGACCCAAAGACTGAAACTTTAGACCTATAGACTTCGAAATCTAGAAATAGTACAAACTAAGAGCAGCTGCTTCCTTCTACAGTCATACTGTGCTGCAATTGAGTTGTTTTGAGCTGATTTCACCCATTTCAGATCTAGAAAACCTAAAATCTCAATCTTTGACAATCCAAGAACCTAAAATTTTCTCATATTACCTCAAATTTCATCATTTCTCAACCTAAAATGTGCCACATAACTCATCTTAGAGCAAGATAATACGCCTCGCAGACATCAACAACAACAGTACTAGACAATCTTGACACCAATCTAAGATTTCCAACTAGTGCAATCATTGTCGACAAACAATGACCCCTCAGGAAATGAATTCGACAAAAAGGAGATAAAACTGAAAATTCTTGGATATGGGCTCAATATCCAAGAATTTTCAGTTTTATCTACTTTTTGTTGAATTCATTTCCTGACAAAGCCTTTGGCCAGGCATCGTTGAGCATCGCACTCATCAGATCAAACCCTTCGATTAGTGTCCAACTACAATCAGAATTACACTCACGAATCAGCAGGGCATGCTGGCAACACTTACCCCAACTTCAATCAGAAACCCAACCACGAATCAGCATGGTACGCTGGCAAAACTTGCTCCAACTTGAATCAGAATTACAGTCACCAATCAGCACAGTATGCTGACATATTTTGCTCCAGACGCAATCAAAATCACAGTCACGAATCAACATACTACGCTGGCACCCAGCGCGTCTTTCTGTCGACAGCGACCTAAGAGCAACTACTCGTTACTTGTAAGTTGTGCTACTTACTAGATCAAGGCAAAACTCGAAAACCTTCGGTCCAGTTCACTGCTTTGCTGAACCTCAACCGTACTGTTACCAACCTTACTGTTATCTTAGGGCTCAGGCCATAAGACGACTTTGAAAGCATCGCAGACCGTGCCTGGCGGTATGACCCCAAAGCAGGGGCTCCCAAACATTATTAGAGTGGCCCGGTCTTCCAAATGCATCTTCGAGAGTATTTATAAGTAGACGGGTATTCTCGTTGTTCGAGTTATAGAGTAATCTTGTAGTCAAGGGTAGAATCAGCCTTGTACTCAAGTCCAGAATACCCTTGTAGTCAGATAGTATTCCAATAGAGAGTACTCTTGTAGTCAAGTAAATTGAATGCTATCCTTCAGAGCTGCACTCAAAAAGATGACTTATATCGAGAGCCTTAACGCTATCTTGTAACCACCACCGCTCCTCTGCCCACCACTCGTACGAGACGGTGCATCATCGGTTCTACTGGTGCCAATGTGCTCTTGTTCTTTTGCACTTCCATTTGCTTCAGTATCCGCGTCATCTTCGCTTCTCTCTTCGCCTTCCTCACTGGTCTCTTTCCCTGTCTCCGCAGAAGACTCTCCACTCCACGAAACTTCCACGAACGCCTGACATTAGAGTTACTGCAGTAGCATCCCTGCCACCATCTCTGGTTCATCTTCCAGGAGTAGATACCTTAGGTCAACTCCATTACAGAAACCTTTTTTCCTGAATACCCTGTAAATAACTGACCACAGGTTTCTTTTTCAGTTATCGAAACAATGACAACAAGGGTGATGCTGACACGATGCTGAGATTTTTCGTTAGAAACAGCTACAGCAGAGGTGATGCCGACACGATGCTGATCATGATGTTCTTGTCCTGATACATAGAAGTTTCCTTGCCTTAGTCAGCTTGTTGCGCTCCTTGTTGAACAGGCGCCACGCCCTCGATCACCCTCACATCTACAAGACCTTGCTCGCGCTCCCAGCGGCTGCGCTGCTCGTCGTCCACCACACACGGACACTCCATACACCGACCGGCAGCTGGAGCTTAGAGCTTCAATAATCTTTTATGCTCCTTGGACTAGCTTCTGGGCTTTGGAATTACGCTCCTTAAAGCTGCGAAATTTCTATGCTCAGTCGGCCTTCTCTTCGGCCTTAAACTATGCTCACTGAAGGTTCTATGCCACCATGCAAGCTGGACTAGTTTCTGCACTGTGCTCAATGAAGCTTCTCAACTATGGGCCTTCGGGCTTTTAAGCTTCTCCACTAGGTTCACTCGACCTGGGACTATGCTCATTCGGCTTTCTAGGCTTCTATACCTTTTAGGCTTCAAAGCTTCTATACCTTTTAGGCTTCTAAGCTTCTATACCTTCTAGGCTTCTAAGCTTCTAGACCCTCTGGGCTTCGAAGCTGATCCTTCCCAGCTTCTAACCCTGCCCTTCCCAGTCAGGGAATGTAATCCTGTATCTACCTACTATGAAACTGACCACCTGGATCTCCATGCAGCTGCGTTTTTAGGTGCAGTATTATGCGTTTTTAAGTGCAGTATGGTGGGGTTTTCACTACTTGTTATGCGCTATTTCGATGGTGTTTCAGCACGTTTTTCAGTACAGATCCCACTGCTCAAGGATAGCGAGTATTCTCAAGAATCACAACTCCAGTCAATCTCATCGTCAGGTTTTAAATTGAATTATTTTGGAATATAATCAGAATTTCTTGGATATTAACTACCAATTTGAGTTTGAAATTGAAGACTCAAAGATTTTAGATCAAAGATCTGAACTTCACAACTCTAAAAAGTTCTAGAGTTTATGAATTCGAACCACTAATGGCATTATGCATGACATTGTTGTAGTAATGAATAGCAGAAGACTATAGCTTAGCTACAATGAAGGCGATAGGGCTAAGATTTCTAGGATATCTGAACTTTAGAAGCTGGCGATTCCAAGAAGCATCGAACACAGAGTCATTTATCTACGATACTACCCCAATTTTCTACCTCAAAACACTGCTTATCCATACTACCCTTGCTCTCTACAGAAACTGACCAAGCCCATTCAAGTCAACGAAAAATAATCCAACGCTTGTTGATTCCTCGAAACTCTGCTCTTCCAGTTGCCACAACAAGACACTCCTCTTCTGAAAAACATACCGCCACAACAAGACCACCAACATCTTTCAAATACGTATACTATGCATATCTCCCACCGATCCAATTCTGGAGAGAGAGTAAACTTTTCTAGCTCTGAGTACCTCAACACAAATACGTATAAGTAACCCTTTTGCAGCTTTTATACTATCGCAAACTCTCCATAAGTAAGGCAGAATCCGTCGTTGCAGCCGTGCGAATACCCACTGCAATAGGCGCCATCCACACAAACATCTGCGCCCAATGCCATCTGGGAAGTGAAATGCGGCACTCCTTGACACATAAGAACAAGCGACCATGGAAGGGCGTCTACCGGCGACAAGCCTCGCCGTAAAGAGACGGCACTTCGAGGTCGGTACCCCAGAACGGTAGACATCTTTTTGTACTTGTCGTCGGATGGAATAGGGAAGGTTAGGCTTCGGATGGAACAAAAGCTAAGTTATAGGTCATGGATTCTTCACATCTTCAAGCAGTTGACAAGAATATGAGATAGGAGTCAGTGACTCAAGACACAGTCAGTGTGAAGCGGGAGCAAAATCGGTTATGAACTATGTTTTTGATGATCAAAGATTATAGTAGTCCTACTCTTAAGACTTGCACTGGGCCGTTGACATCGTCCCATCAATGCGGTACAAATCTCTCCTGTCGCTACTACTCTGCTGCTCTCTCATGTCACTCGAATGCCACTCCAACGTCACTCGAATGCCACTCCAACGTCACTCGAATGCCACTCCCACTACCAGGCCACACAAGTGAAGTTCTGAGCAAGCAGCTTCCATGTCGCTCTTAACGCGCTCCAAGGCCACATCCCCTACTCTCGTCCAGTCAAAAATGCTCTAGTACATTCGCTCATCTCTTTAAAACCTGCACGTAGCAGCTTCGGAACAGTGCTGTTGACACTGCCTTTTTTGCACTCTGCGTGGGTACAACACCTTCGGATTTCCCATGAGAAGCCCAGTCTTCATTGATATGACCGTACGAAGGTCACAGCGCTTCATTGATAGGCCCTACTCCTTATTCTCATCTCTGTTAAAAAATCTCGCGATAAATGCAAATACAGTAGTTTTAACTTGTGATATAAGGAAGATCTTTTGGGTTCGTTGTAGATGTAGTCAAGCTTTCTGAGAGCGAATCAACGACCAAGAGCGTAGGCTTAGGTAGGTTCTATATGATGCAAATTTCGGGAAAAAAGACTTAGGATCCATTGACCATCTTTGCGCTAAATGTAGAAGTTTGATGACTTAATGGTAGGAGCTCAGTCAAACCAAGTTAATTTCACTCGAACAAGACAACTCGTATTCCGATAAAAGCTCAGGTGGCCATGCTCGTATAAATGGTCGTTTTAATGAGGAAATTCATGTCGTTCACCACCCTGTCATCTGATAGAGGCAGCAGTGTGGTTCGGCTTAATAAAATTCCTCCTATGGCGGAAGGCCTAACATACAGGAAAAGAAGCTCACCACGCACTTCTCCCAGACAGTCCTTCCCACACCAGTTCTTCTCGCGCCTTCTGTAGAAATGCGGCTCTACCTCTTTTCAGACAACTTTTTCAAGAGAATTTGGTTTCATCCTCCTTGAATCAAGTTCAGATTTACGATCACGACATCAAGACTAGTTTCTCCTAAAATACTAATACGTCCCTAAACCTTATAACAATCAAACATCGTTCTTTGTCTTCAATGAAAAACCGAAAAAAAAACCGTCTACAAATCGTCGTCATCTTCGTCGTCGATCGGCACGTTGGCTGCCTCCAGTGCATCTGCCTGAAGACGTGCGATATCCTCTTGGTTGATTTGGACGATGGGTGGTTTCGCAACCTCCTCCACGAAGATAAGGTCTTTGTTGCTACTCAGCCTTCGCGCCAGCCACAAGAATGGCTTCTCGAAGTTGAAGTTCGATCGCGCAGAGAGATCGTAGTACCTTGGTTGGTTGTGATGTTGGAACCGAGATGGAGGTTGTTGTTGTTGTTGTTGTTGTAAAATTGTTGTTTAAAGGCAGTTGTATGGTGGAGAGTGGTTTGAAGGTAAGTATAAACAGAAAAGTGTTTCAGGAGGTTGAGAAGGTAGAAAAGCAGGTATATTAGATGAAAGTGTTTGAGACCTTTGTAGCTAAAAATCGTTAAGCCAAAAGAAAGTCTAGAAAGATTACTGAAGATTTCGCTTTCTGTGGAACTGGATGTTTCGTGCCTTGACTTGCCTGTCCTTGACATCGACCTTGTTTCCGACCAATACGATCGGGATATTCTCGCAGACTCGCACGATGTCCTTGTACCTGGATCACGCGGAGAGAAAAGGTGTTTTATTCTGGAATGAATAAAGATAGGCAGAAGCTGCATATTTCAACCTAGAATTATAGGAAGGCAGAACCTAGTGATAGGCAGAAGCTGCATATTTCAAGCTAGAATAGGAAGACGAAAGACACAGGATAACAGGATTATCTAAGTCTTAGGAAATTACCACTCCGGGACGCTCTTGTACGTAATTCGCGAGGTCACGTCGAACATGATAATTGCGCACTCTCCCTGGATGTAGTACCTGTTTTTTTCACAAATCAATCACCTCTTTTTTTACGTTGTTGATGAAATAAAAATGCCGGTAGTGATGAACAACTAGTAAAGGATCGACATGCTTCTAGGAAAAGGCTATGGCTGGTTTAGAGGCGGGTTCATCTATTCTCCTCACCACATCTCTCAATCCATTTATCCACCAAGAAATACCCATCTAGTTGTATCCCTATATCGACATCATAAGTCAGTAGTACCCATCTCTTAATCCGCCCATCTTTTCTTGGCCTGCTGTATCCCACACATTGAAGCAGATAACGCCACAGTTCGTCGCAAATTTCAAAGGATGCACCTCAACTCCCAATGTGGGAATATACTTCTTCTCGAACTCACCTATGTTGGCATAAAAATAATGGGAAAGTTAATAGAAAGAAACAAAATATAACTACGCGGAGCCTCCTCACGAGGACTATAGATCATAAGACCATTTACTAGAAAAGAAGATATGGTTCTATTTTCTGCGCACCCCTAATAGGCACATAGCACCTACACGCTCCTCCCTTAGAAAAAAAGTACGACCAGTAAGATGTCGCTTCACAAGCGTCTTGAATAGTACCAGTAAGATGTCGCTTCACAAGTGTCGTTTTTCCCACACCGCCATCGCCCACGAGCACCAACTTCCACTCTGCCTCTACCTTCTGCTGGGTAATTGCCGGTGGCGCCTGGGGTGCGCCGAACTGCTGCTGTGCCATACCTCCACCGAACATTTTTTTCGAATTATAATGATACAAGGTCAGGAAAAAATTGTGAAACTAAAAGTTGTTGAACGATGCGGTAAAAAAGCTTACAAACAATGCTGAATTGGATGAAAGCAAGCCTGGATGTTGACAATTAGTGATTTTTTTTCGCTACAGGGCATCTTACGATGGGACTAAGATCTTTTCTAAGTCTACAATAAAACTGAGTAGAAAGCAAGCCTTTTTTAATGAAGCGTCCAGTTTGCAGGTGTTTGATCATATCATCTTCGATCCAAATCATTTCAATTTTCTTCGAATGTCGGATCCTTCCCAATCAGAGTGAAATCATTCCAGATCGAGCAAAAGGAAAACCTCATGATAGTTGCTGTAAAGTCTAAGCTGCTGTAGTTGCGCTTGTAGAAGGTCCGACGATTGTCCTATTCGTCGTTGCGCACAAGAAACCTTTCCCCCTGATCCTTTCTTTCTTTCTCCTTACAACTATGGTGAGGCTGTCAGCATCATCTTGTTTGGACGCATATGTCTCATCTCCATTCACTCATTCATCGTAGTGTGTAGGTTGCGTGCAGAATAAGGGGTCTAAGAACTAGGTGTAGGGACAACTTACTTAAAATGGTAAGCAAGCATATTGGTAAGATTTTTGTTCAAAGAAGTAGTACAACAAATAAATGTGGTTACTTAGTAGAACTAGCTCTCAGAGGACCTCCTCCAAGTAGTGTTACTTTCGTTAGATGTGGAGCCTACGAAGATCTTTTCCAGCAGAGGTCTGCCAGATAGATGCTGGCAGAGGCGTTCTTTATGTGTTTTGAACCGCCCAACAGCTAGAATGGTACTCCTCACCGCAGCTAATACAATTTAATCATTTCTGTGGGGTCGTGTGCAGCAGCAACAAGGATCATGTACTTATATTATTCATTCATTATCAGAGGACAAACTAGTACCAAAATCATGGACGATGTATAATTGACCTCGTAGAAGAGGTAGATCTTAGACATAGACAACCACGCAAAGATGAGGTGCGGAGAAGCAGCCTCTCTGTTGAAAGTAGGACAGAGACGTTTCCAAACTAAAGACGCAACTGACGTGAGGAAAGGTTGCCTCTCTCTTGAAAGTAGGACAGAGATGTTTCCAAGAAACTTAGATTCTTTTATCACATCCTCAACATAGATCAATTCATAGACCGAGGTGATCAACTGAAGTCAAAGTTCTGCACTTTCTCCATCCCCTGACCGAAGGATTGCTCGCTTAAGAGCCCTCCTCCTTCGCTGAGGAAGTGGTCGTCGTCTAGGTCGTCGTCTGGGAAATACATGTTCTTGAATTGTACTAGTTTCTCCAACAATGCGTCACTGGACTTTCTGTTCTGCTGCAGCCGGGTGATCACGTCGTCAATCCGCTCCGCAAAACCGCACGTCATTAGAGCAGGTTGAGACAATTCATTTGTTGCCTTCATTTTCTCACTTTCTCAAGGTGGAAACAGTGAAAAAAATGACTTCTAGAAATGACGTCATGTTTCACCCCTTAACGTCATGCACTCTCTCCGGAGCGCTTCCGCGTTCGGGTTGGAGGATGCATTGAGCAGCTTCTGCGCGGCGTCCACCATGTTGGTCAACAGCGTGGGTTCCCACTGGCGCGACTGGAATAGGTTCAGGAAAAAAGTGCAGTGGTGCACGAAGGCGTCCGGGACTTTGCCGTAACCGGTTTCCGCGTCGTAATACGGCCAACAATACTCGCCGACGAGCTTGAAAACATTGCGCAAAGGCAACACCTCCTCAGTACCGGAAGTCGGTCAAATTAGAGATGGCTGTAATGTGCGAGTTCAAGGTTGCTGTCCTTCAGAAGGTTGCTGTCCTTCAGAAGAGATATATGGTGTTGGGAAGAAAAAGAGAGTAGAAGTTTAGATTGTTGCATCAGAAGATAAGCCTAACAATGTGGAGTCGTAAATGTGGACTGTTCCACCCACTAACTATGAGACAAATAGGAGGAGGAAGGACCGTTTCTACTAAGCCTTTTCTACTAAAATTTCTAATAATGGGTAGGGAAGTTTCTACTCACTCTGTACTTATAACCATAATCTTTCCAGCACTAAAGTAGAACTGGTTGCAGACCTAATCCTTAGATCTCAAATTAGTTAAGACTTTTTCTTCCAGTACAACTTCTTGATAAATAGGTATCCTCACTAGTCACCTTATATTCTTATACTAGTTCACAAAGATCTTTACATCCTCTCAAACAAAGATCAACTACAAATATGTTTCCAACTACAAATCAACACTTGCTCAAAGATCTTTACATCCTCTCAAACAAAGATCAACTACAAATACAACTTTCCATAACACTGCTCCTGAGTATTGCTCCAAATGCGCTTTGATGGAGCCAATCTCATTCGTCGCAAAGTAATTGGTATAGCAATAGACCAGTTCCTTCACGCTATCATACTTCATCTTGTTCCAACTTTCATTGTGCTGCAGTTGCTGCGACAGCTCGAACATCACGTCGAACATCGTCTGGAACTGTGTAGATTGGAGGTTGAAGATGGAGGTTGAAGATGGAGGTTGAAGATGGAGGTTG